AGTCTGTCCGTCAGGCTATTTCTGACTGCAGCCATTTCTCTGATTAGATTATGGAGAAACAGAACCTGGCCCACCATCGTCCTAGCCTCCATCTACTCTTTCCCTGTTCACTGCACTCTCTCACTCAGCCCTGCGTTCATTTTCTCTTGACTCTAACGGACAGTCCGTTACTTTGCACCCATCTGTCTGTCTGCCTGTCTGTCCCTCTCACCTTCTCTTGTACAAATCAAGAAGATTCTGTATGCATCGCTTTATGTAGGCCAGTTTTGTCCCTTTGAATGATCTGACCCCTTTGTATGTGGTTTTAGCGCAGTGCAGTGGCTCAGAGGTGCAGCCAGGTGGAGGTGCTGAATGATGAACGACTACTAGAGTCTTCCCCATTATCATATCTGTCCTGCTCTTAACGGGGCATTTTCATCCGTGTCCCTCTGCACTCCTCTCATCTCTCGCTCCCTCAGTGCGCTCCCTCCGGAAAGCAATCGATTGCATCTCCATTACCAAGGTCCTCCACTCAGATCCGAGTTTAAGAGGAACTCATACTCGCTGGTGCGGCACACTCGCACAACAATCACTAGCTTCGTGGGTTCAAACTAAAAAAATCCGTGTGACCTCTGTTTTACGCGTGTGCAGGTGAATGCATTACGCACACAGGATGACGTGTCCACCAGTATAATTAGCATAAAAGACGAATAAAGGACCCACCAAAAACACACCAGTATGTCCGCCATTCTTTTAAAGAAAGGGAACAAATCCATTTCGCCTAATTCGAACCTTGCTCAGGGACAGCTCGCGTGGCAGATTGCAGCCTAATTAGTTTAGAGGGAATTTAATTGAATTAAGTTTCCACAGCTCCGCGCGCCCCGCCGCTGGGCTGCTTTCAGAGCGCGGGGCCAGAGCTGCAGATCTAATTAGCGTTGTTTGGAGAAGCTCCCGTACGCACGGCCATCCTCGCTGCTCCAGCTGTGGTGTGCGTAAACCATGAGTGTGTGCCATGGTCTCGCGGGACCACCTTTTTCTTAAAAAAAAAAAAAAAAAAAAAAAAAACGTATTTTAAAGCAACACACAGTCATCCATTACAATATTACAGACTCACCGCGGTGGGCTGAGCTGCATACACTTCTCAAGATTGCGTTAACGAAAACTACCAATTGAGCTTACAATGACAACATTTCTAAACCGATAACCATTTAGAGCTTTATCTTTACAGAGGGAAAAACTACGAGGCATTGTTTTTTTTTTTAACATGGGACTGTTGACCTTTCGGCCAATACCAAATACGTTTGTGGCACTGTGTATTTTATTAGGCCTAAAATAAACTTAATTCATCATAGGCCTGATTAATTCTGGCCTATTTAAATAGGCTTCAATAGCCAAAGAAATTATCTTCACAAAACTGAATTTGAGGTCTAATTTCTTATCCTGTGTCATCACACTCTACCAAAATCTGTGCTGAAACTTAGGCTCCTCTTGCTTCTATCTAAACAGGTTACAAGTCGTGGAGCTGAAGCGTCACAGTATATTTCAGTAATTGGAGAGTGAAATGCTGGGACAGGCGCACGCGGAAGAGACCCAGGCCTCGGGCCCACCCCCCTCTCCTTATCTCTCTCATCCATCATCAGCGAAATCAAATGTGCTGCGCCTCTGCCACTGCGGCTGGTGCTTTAAAATTTGGCTGTGCGTTAACGGCAGCAGCAACGTTTACATTATGTCCGATTTCAATCACAATTTAATCCACGCGCTCGGTGCACGATGACGCAACACATTTCAGTCACTAAACTGTGGCTGAAACCACTCTGCAGCATCACCTGGGGCGTTCACCACCCAGTGCACCATAAACTTTCACGACATAAATCACTTAACAGAACGCAGTTTAGTTTACAGTTTAGGTCTCACTCAGAAAGGGAGGAATTAGTAACCTGTCAATTAAGATTTATTCTTGTCCAAAAATATTCCTGTAACGTTAACAAATGTATGGCGTTGTTAAATCAAAGAGTTGACATAGCCTAAATGGATAAAATATCGTATGTCCATAATGAGAGAGAGAAATCTGCACTCAGACTTAAAATTGTCATTACCACACAAACATTTGTTTCTGTTTTTACGACGCTGTTGTGATTTAATAAACACGTTTAGAATCGATAATGGCAACATGCTTCCTCACCAGGGAAACATACGGGACATGATGTTGTGTGTGCGTTGAATGATGGATGGATCTGGCTGACGCGCGCTCTGACTGACAGCTTCTCTTGCTTTAGACCACCACCGCGTGTTTCATGACATATACCGGCATGGGCCTCCCGCGAGGCCTTTCTTTAGTGCACTGCGTCTGCTGGCCCATTTTTTTACTCATCCCTTATGTCCTGTCTATGTCCATACACTCTTCCATCTCTCCATCAAAACCACCCCACCATCCATCACAAGGTCCACCCATATCTTGTATCATCTCACTCCCTGCGCTCTGCATTCCCTGTGCGCGCGGAGCGGGACCCCAGAGACTACAGACAAGGCGAACACGGGCAATTGAATTATGATTTTTCTACAGAATGTGCTTTTTGTAATTGGACAAATTGGGGTAGATGGGGTCTGCCCACTATATCTTCTCTAACTTGGAATATTAATGACACTGCAAAGATTTTCAACTGCCAGCAAAAACATTATTTGATTACGCACATTAGGCCTCTATTACGCACTTTGCAGACTAACCCAGGGGTTCAGCGATAAATTCTTAGTTTAGAGTTCCTGTCGAGTTTTTAATTGTAACCTTCCTAATAAGTTAATTTCTGAAGTTACAATATGAAGCCTACGTTGGTCAGATCATGGACCTATTATCCATAAAGTGGAGGTTTCTCTCTCAGGGTCCCTCAGCAGAAGCCTCTGGAGGACCATTGTGCTTCCCTCTGTTGACTCAGACGTCATGAATGCCAAAGCCTCCCGTTACTGTTTCCGTCAAATGGCCCCATGAATGTAAAAGTCCAAAGTTAAAGGCTGCGCAGAGGAAAGGTCTCCCCCTGCGCCCGGGCACTAAGGGCGGATTAGGAGCCTGGAAGAGACCGCTGCCCCTTTGAAGGGATTAGATTAGAAATGTTTAGAGGGAGAGGAGTAGGGTCGCTCATAGTTGCTCTTTTGGGTGAGAGAGTTTAGCGGAGAAACTGTTTAAGTTTCCCAGCATATTCACCGTTGAACTTTCTTTCATGACTTGGGAAAATTAAAATTAAACTAATGACTATTTTTTTATTAGGGCTGCACCTGCCATTCAAGACTTTAAGCACAATAAAGCAACATAGCGTATCCTATAATAATTACAAGAGCAATTAATTCAGATAAAAAAGATCTATAGGTTTATGTTTAATTTAGGTTAATTTAGGCTCGGTAGGCTATAGCCTATATTTTTGCAAAGTTGTGTATGTAGGCCACCAGTGCGCACTGCTACAAATAGGCCTATAAGCAAGTGGCAAAACAAGCTTGTGACAAATCTGATTATTTATAGACTCTCTCTAAATTTATTGTGACTGTGTGGTGCTGGAGCAGTAAACGCACGCGTGCGCTCTCTCCACACTCTGTGGGTTAATGGCATTAAGGATCATCGTACAGCGCCCCCGGACACCAAGATAAGAGTGCACTTTGTGCGCGCGCACGCAAGAATAAAGTTAATTATTTTGTCGCGCGCTTGCAACGTCCTTTTGGTTTGTGGATCATATCATTTGTTGAAATATATCCGCTAATAAAAAGCCTGTTAATTCCACAAGCACCAGCGTGGTCTTAAATGGCCTTTAACTAAAAGTGTGGGGAGTGCGCTTCTCTGCCACTTTTCCACGCTCTCTGTGTGCGGTGTGCACTGGGGCCATGTGGGATATGACTTATCACATTGTATGACACCGAACAATAAACTTAAACCAATTTCTAACGCGTCAATGCGTTTATGGTTAGCCTGCCGTGGTTGCTCACTCGCTCCTCTGCCTTTCTCTTCTATATATCAAAATGACGCGCACTCCAGTGACATCTCCCTAAAAGTGATCGGAATCGAATCAAAGCTTTTAATCTCACCAATCAGCGTCACATCTGGACATTTTGAACTACATAAAGACTTACGGCAGAAACGCGCTCTGCGCATTGACGCCAGCACTGTAAAGGTAGGTCTAAATATTTAGACATTTGGAGAATTTTGTGTCATTTTTAGAGGGGTATTAATAATGTTACTATTTTTTTAGGTTATATCGAAATAATTACAATAATAAAATGGCTAAGCTTTTTAATTAACTAATGCATTTGATTTGTCATTTGAAATGATAAAAAGCAGGCTAATTATTGCGTAAGTCTATAGGTTTCTAGCCAAAGAATCTGACTACGGTTGGACCTAAGCTGGCCTCTTACAATATGAACATTTTTGTAGGCTATAGTGAGGCCTACAAGAAGTGGCCTTTGCTATAATGCTCACTTATCAGATATAGGCTTAGTATTGTACATCTGATAACATAAAGAACAATAAATAATATGGATCAAGCGCGCCCAGTGTTTATGTCAGGTTCGTAGAGAGCGGGCTGCCACCTGGGCTTGTATGTCGTGCCGGAGGTGCACGTGGGCGGTGCGTGGCCTGTGGGCGTGACCATCCCGTGTCCAGCGCTGTCACGACTCTGCCATTGGCTCCTTGCAGGCAGAGGGTATTGTCATGGAAACTAGACCACCGCCTTGCTATTGTCTCCGCGCGCTGCCAACTTTATTATAAACCGTGCGCAAACTGCAACGGACTGTCAAACGGAGCAAGAGCGCACAAGCTGAAGCGGGTGGACAGAAACTCTTCTGGATTATTCCAAGACTTCACAGCATCTTCTGTTGAGTAGTGACAAGGATTTGGATTCCACAAGAGCCACTGAGGACTGAACATTCTTCTGATTTGTTTTCACCACTGTGAGCCCGGTACAACTCCAGATTGACGCGGGTCTGAACGTCACTCCTGGTACTTTTGCCCGTGCACACGCCGGTCATTCAGCCGGTCCACATCCATGTATAAAATGGATTACTCATATCTGAACTCCTATGACTCCTGCATGGCAGCCATGGAAGCCTCTGCCTACGCGGACTTCAGCTCATGCAGCCAAGCCAGTTCGTTCCAGTACAACCCGATCAGGAGCGGGCCCTTCTCTAACCCGGGCTGCACTCCTCTCAGCACGGCCAGCTGCACCCTGGGAGCGCTGCGGGAGCACCAGCCCACACCTTACTCTTCAGGTATGCCTCCAACCAGAGCTCATCCGCAACCTGAACAAAAAGCACCTGAAAAAATGTCAAAACAGAAAAAAGTCCTAAGTTCTTTCCTAAAAAGAACCTAAATTATTATTGTGTCTTATTTATATACACATTTATTTTATTGTCACTCCTATCTGATAAATGTAAAAATAAATATTAGGCCTTCCTAATCTAATTAGGCTACCAATTACTCTGTTTATGGATGTGAACATAGGAATCCTAAATAATAAAAGTAGGCTACAAAGAAGAATTAGACAAAAATATAATATAATATAATATATATATATTATATATATATATATATATATATATATATATATATATATATATATATATATATATATATATATATATATATATATATATATATATATATATATATATAAATACGGCATTTAAAATTTTTCTGTCTTTTGCAGTACCGTACAAATTTTTTTCGGATCCGTCAGGCCTGAATGAGAAGAGGAAACAGCGGCGGATCAGGACCACCTTCACTAGTTCCCAGCTCAAAGAACTTGAGCGCGTTTTCGCAGAGACGCACTACCCGGATATTTACACCCGTGAGGAGCTGGCACTGAAGATTGACCTAACCGAAGCGCGCGTACAGGTCAGAAATGTTCCCGCCTGCCTTCTGAAAATGCAAATAAAGTAAAACAAGAAAAGCTGGAAAATATCCATGTTACTACAGGACATATAAATGACAACATCATCATTAACTTTAAAGCAGTGATATTTCGCACCAAACTCAGAAGATATTCAGCTTTTAAAGACGACATAAACTGACCTAAAGCATGTCTAAATTATTAAAACTAAACCAGTGGTAAAACAGATTCCTAATCCATTTTTTTTTTCTTCCAACAGGTGTGGTTTCAGAACAGGCGTGCAAAGTTCCGCAAACAGGAGCGAGCAGCCAATGCCAAAGCCAACAGCACCGGGGGTTCCACAGGCAGCACTGGCAGCAGCTCCACGGGCAAGAAGAACGGAGAGCCCAGATCCTCCTCAGATGACGAGGAGTCTAAAGAGTCCACCTGTAGCCCCACGCCTGACAGCACTGCATCCCTGCCTGGGTCAGGCAATGGGAACTTGGGCAGCCCCGCCAGCCTCAGCCCCAGCCCTGCACCCGCTGGAACAGTCTACAACACCTCCAGCTCCCCAGTGCTGCAGGGGCTCAAGGCGCCCAGCTGGTCTAACCTGGGGCCCGCCAACCCAGCCGTGGCTCAGCCTGCAGCCCAGACTCAAGAGATCCTCAAAGCCTGGCAGCCGGACAGTATGACCGGGCCCTTTGCTGGAGTTCTGTCCTCTTTCCACAGAAAACCCAACCCGGCGGCCATCAAGACAAACCTGTTTTGAAGCACAGAGAGGGAGAGCTGGGAATAAGACATGCAGGCTGATGGAGGAGACTATGAACACTACAGGTGCAAACAGCTGTACTCTAATCCTGCTTTGACATCAACCTTTTGGGCAGAACAGTTTTAGAGATGAACAAATGTCCTGCTATGTTGGAAATTATTGTGCACATAGTGTTAAACCTGCAAAAATCAAACCTTTAAAAACGTGACAACAAAATCTACTAAATGTTGAGTACACTGATGCCTTTCTCTCAAAATAAATTTATAGTTAGACAAATTTGAATCACCACATGTACAGACCACTTTTGTATTACCCGCAATGTTATAGTTTAAGGTTTACTGTTTAGTTTACGGCCATCTTTTTCTCACAAATGTCTCATTGTAACAAGACCCTGCTCAGTATGGAAGTCAAGTCCAGATGTAAATTGTAGAACTAACTCTGATATTTGCTGAGGACACAAAACAAACTTGCCAGCAAGCACAACCTCCTTTAAGCCCCTGACTCATAGACAATAGCAAAGGAAAACAACTTTACAAATCTTCACCCCACAATCCAATTACTTGTAATGGGAACCTCCTGGCTTCCTACCCGTCTAAATCTCATCACATTCAGATTCGATGTCCTTCAAGCCTTTTTTGTTTACAACTTTCACGGCAGTGTTGAAATGAAAGTTTTATGGGAGTAATGGTACAACTAGGGTGTACTGGTGAGATTTTTACATATGTTAAGGATTCAACCGTGTGGACATTGAAAGAAGTTGTCAATTTGCTCTTAATGTTGCTCAGTCTGCTCACTTCTGCCTTCAGAATACAACACAGAAAAGGAAAACAAATGTATTTATTATTATTATTTTAATTATTTGACTGAGTAAGCCACACATTTATTTGGACTGTTATATAAAAAGTGTGACTGTAAACTCTGTAACTAGTAATATAAAATGTTAGTAGCATTTCTTCCTTTCCTTTTTATTTTGTTGCTTTGCAGATTTCTTTTGGTGCCGAGATTCTGTCTACAAAGGACCAACACATCTATGAAACTATGAAAGACAGAAGCTCTAGTGAATGAGAAGTTATAGCACTACTCTGAATATTAATAAATAAATCTACATTATGGACGCATTAAGTGACGTTTTCAGTCTTTTCCTCAAACTTTAACCACCATAACATCGCATCATTCTCAGTGTAAATAATCTTTTTTTTTTTCATAGACTGTTATAGATTTTAATTGAAAAACATGAATAACTGTCTTAGATTAAGTTAACACATTGAACATTTGCAAACACGAATAACAGACAATGGCAGGAGACAAGCACACTTTTCATACACATTTCTTACACATATACACAAGAACACTGAAATGCCAAGAGGCTTAAAAGCAATATTTAAATCGTCTGAACAGCACATCAATATAGCGTTGAAGTTGTCATAAAATGAGCAACAAGATATGGCACATTTGCACTGTATTTGCTCAGATTTAAAGAAACGCAAAAGTGAGATTATGAAAACGACCTGGCCTGATGGTGAGAATGGTAGATCTAATGATCACTAGAGTCTTCAGATCTGAATCTCCAAAGTCAGCAATCGTTAAAGTAGCAGCGCCATCTATTGGTAAATGAGAGCCATGGACGTCAATAGTAAAATTCTGTGACATGAAAATGAATGTGCTACAAAAATGTAACAGAATAATAAAACACTTACTTACAGACATACTATTTGGCAACTGTATTACATCTATTGTATATAAAATAATTTGTTATTCTACTTGGCCTTTCCCTGGGAAATTTTGTAACATTTAGCAACCTAAAATTGAAACAAATCCATGTTTAAAAATTAACCAATATATCCCCCATGATTTTGTAATTTCACTGATACTCTGTGTATACTCTTTTCGTATTCCCTTTGTGCCAAATACATCTGAAAACCAACTAGTATGAATAAGTCAATGGCCCCAACATTACACAAAAGCTGATTTCATGTTGCTTCACTGCTAGCCTTGATCCACATTACTCGCTTCACAAAGAAGCCTTATTCTAACGGACAACCTCAGTTTCCCTACTTGGCTTCGACTCTAGCAGCTCCAATGTATACGAATTGAGTCCAAGACAAAACCTGAGACAAGCAGTGCTCAAAGATTTAAGTTCTTAAAAATGAACTGCATTTTTGCATTATTCTTCTGAAAGAATTCCCATTTCTTCCAGTCAAACATATACATATAAATAAAACTAGCTAGACTCGTTTCAGTTTAAGGCTGATGGCTATATTTTGGTGAGAAACACAAAGGACTGAAATGATTATATTAAATAAGGCCACATGTATAACAGTGACAAATTAACAGTACATATATACAGTAAAAAAAAAAAAGTCTTTTTGAAGTCCACTTGGGAGACGTTTTGGCACTTGAGTCTTAGAGTATTACTAGGCTGGTTTGGACCACTCACAGGCCTACATAGCACAGTTCATTTCTGCTGCTGCTGTTGTCTGAGGCTTTCCAACAAGATCCGCTTGTGTCCAGGATCCAGCACTCCTGCCTCCTCCAGATCCTCTTCTGTAATGTCACTGTGGACCACAAACACATATTCAACACACATAATCACATTTACCCCATTTTTGACCAATGAGAGTTTTGTAAATAAGTGTACCTTAGAAACTCCAGATCATCCCAGCCATTGTGTAAAAGACCCTGTTCATACTGCTCCAGTCCCAAACGCTGCAGCCACTCGCCTACTGAAGATTCCCCCACAGACAAGGATGAGCTACTGCTACCCCATAGTGCCTACAGAGAAGAAACAAACATAGAATTGAAATCACTTTATAACCCTAATAAATGGCAAATAAAGGGCTCTTATAGTAAATATAGCCAAATTAATGTTGATTCTCATTTTAATTGGCATTAAACGTAATATGCACAGCTGTATTTGGAGTAAAACACATCACACATCAGTTGTAAGCTATAATGTGATCAAAAGATGATGTACCCCTGGATCACACCAAATACAAAAATTCTATATTGATGAAGAGCCCTTTATTAACAATTTCTTGTAATTCATGTTCTAAAAGCCACTCTACATTAGACGAGTGGCTTTGATCTGGGTTTTGAGGAGCAGAACCCAGTGCCCATATCATTCAAATAATTTTATTTATTTATTTATAGTACATGTTTTTAAATTAGAGAAACTATGTTTTTTTTTTATTAATTACACAATCCTAGTATTTTAGTGGTGCAGCTTTAAATGTAATTCTTCTGAACTTCCCTGATGCATACCTCTTCAGGCATGTCCTCTGCTATGCTCTCTGGGATTGGATTTCTGGGCGGGAATGTGCGACAGGCGTCAAGTCCAAAACCCATAGCTTGCCCCCTGAGTGGAGGCGGTGCAGAGGGGGCGCGTGGGGGTGGTCCTGTAAATTCACTCTCACTCAGTGTCTTTGCCATCTGCAGCACAGAACACGACTGGTCATCCATGAGACTGGCCGCCACTGCTGCTGCCCCACCTCCTCGCCTGAACCCCTCTCCAAGTCCGAGGGGAGCGGCAGGACTGGCTGTTGGGATCCGGACTTCTGCCATATCTGGATAAACCGGTCGTGGTTTGGGAAAAGGCACTTCGGTGACCATCTCTAGGGCTCCTTTGGGCAGAGGGGGAGGGGGAAAGTCCGGTGGGGGGCGATTGAGTGAGCTTCCAGTTGTCCCGCCCCGTGTCAGTGCTGCTACACATGAGTCCTCCTCAGATGGGCCCTCCTCGTTGATGGTTCTGACCGGGTGCCCCGTTAGAAGCACTCGAGAGTGAGAGGGTCCCGGGGGGCCGCAGGGGGGTTTGGCACGAGCGCCGGAGGAAGGGAGAGGGGCTTTAGTTGCTGGGGCAGTAGTCGAGGTAGGAGATGTGAGAAGTTCAGGGGAGGCAGCAGCTGCAGACTGGTTGGGGACACCTTCCAGGATGTAGTACGCAGGATTGTTGTAGCTGTTGTTGACGGGCGGGTCTGTGTCAGAAGAATCCTGTTTTGGCCTAGGTAGGGCAAACAAACCAACTTTAATAAAGACATTTGATCAGTCCTTAGTTTGGTAAAATTGTCTTTATAGAAGAGTTACCTAGCAGAGGTCTCCTCTTTGCTATTCCGTTCACCCTCCTCGCTGACCTTACCCAATTCTCCAAGTTGTTTGCGAACTATGGAAGGCCTAAGAAGTGCAAATAATGAAAGAATGAATAAACTTATATTTGTCTGATAAAATGATCAGAAATTACATAAAATATCTAAGAAATGTACAGACTTGACATATTCATGTCCTGTCCTTGGGTGGATAGTCGATTTTCCTTTGGGTCCTCCAGTTTCATCTTTGTCCACGCTAATCCACTCTGCAATGGAATTATGAAATACCTTAAAGTATATCTACGTATAAATTGTGCTGTATAAGCACAGACAGAAACTTGGAAACATATGACCTTACCATAGAGTCTCTCTCTGGTTCCCATCCTTTCAGAGGGAACTCGGACTCTCATTAAACCCCGGATATTCCCTGTCTCCTCACCGCGATGGGACAAGTAGGTGTGGAACTGCTGTGGTGTGCTGCCAATCATGGACTTCAGAGCCAAAACACACTCTCCTGGTGAGCATAAATGCTTAATGCTTAACAGTAGAGTAAATAAAGGTAAAAATTATGTGTATGTCAAATTCTCACATACCATAGGACTCGTATCCATCCAGAGATTTGACGGTAAGCAGTAGATGTTGGTCCTGAAGATACTCGACCTCAGAGAGTAGTGGTTTGAGTGTGGTGAGCTGCTTGTTGGACCAGCCGACACGCAGGAAATTTACATTATCACTGCTTTGACTGTCATTCTCGTAGCTCTTCTTAAACTCTACAGAAGAGAGGGGAGATTGGGGGTAAGGGAAGACAATTAAAACGGCAGGGAGAAGGGTAAAGCAAACAGGGAACAAAGAGACAGGGTATGTTCTTGATGCAATTCAAAAGCATTATGCAATGGACAGTGAGGAAGGAATCTGCAGCCA